TATCTGTATTAGTCCATTTCTGTTGCTTATAACAAAATACCTGGAACTGGGTAATTTTTTTTTTTTTTTTTTGTCTTTTGTCTTTTTCCGTGTCCGGCAACGGATCGCAACCCTCAGTGTTGCCCCCGTACTGGACCGGGACCGGCAACGGGATCGCAACCCTCGGTGTTGCTCTGCACCTCGCTCAGCCAGTGAGCGGGAACCGGTCCGTATGTGGGATCCGAACCCTCGGGCGGGAGCACCGCCGCGCTTCCCAAGCGGCGCACTATCCAGTGCGCCACCGGGCCAGCCCAACGTTTCTCTTTTTCCCCAAAACTGTGTAACTATCTCATACCTTTAAAAAAAAGAACATGCTTATCTTAAACTTTTCAACTGTCATATGAGAGTATTTCAAAAAGTTCGTGGAAAAATGGAATTAAAAGATAATATGAACCTTTCCATGAACTTTCTGAAGTACTCTTGTATATTCATTCTACTAAAAAGTAAATTAATGTTAGGCCTCTCATCAGTATTTCAATTCCAAATTCAGCATCTCATTTATTTTGGTGTCATTTTTTATTTAAAGGTAGAACTCAATTATGTTATACACGATATATATCATTCCACAAGAGTAGCATAATACAGTTCAGAGTCTGTGTATCAAACTTCCCAGTGTCTCTTTTAGTTATCTTTAGTCTTTCTACATAATGTCATATGAGTTGCAATCTACCAAGGTCAGATCTGATCTCAATGATATTAAATTAAGATATTATCTCCAGTTAGTCATCTTCTACATTCTCTCTTTTCTTCCACCATAATAAAATCAAAATTAACCTTTAGGAGGCATATCATGTATTTTTAGGTCTGCATTAAAACAAAATTATTATCAGTGGGTGTTGCTACACTTTGTCTTGCTCTCATAAAAGAATAAAGATGACTAACTGAAATGGCACATACCATATGAACAGCATATAAACCTATGAAGGACCAGCAATTATATTAGTACCTTTAACAGAACTACTATACTTGGAAAATGTCTCCGGCACTGGTGGATAGGGATAATATCCACCAATAACAGTATTCTTCATTCCCTCAGAATCAGTCTTTGTTTTAATCCACTGAATAAAGTTTTTTACCTTGGATTCGTAGGTATACGGCTGGCCTCTATGACCTCCTTGCACGAAGGGTAAAGCATAAAAAACAAGAAATAAAAAGGTCACTGTAATAACTGCATGAGATTTTTTAATAAAAATAGTTTAATATTAAACAGTCTGTTTTATGACCAAGAAAAAAAGTCAAGTTCACTTATTCACTATGTAGCAGATATTTATCCAAAGACAGTAAATAAATCTTAAGAAGGAAATCAGACATATTAGAGTTTAAGTAAACTAAACTGTAGCTGTCTACAGGATGCTAAAAACCACAGAAAGAAGAAAAACAAATAACCTGGATTTTTCTAACTATCCAAATGGGTGGCATCTTTTGAAAAACAATGTTTTTCAAATCACACATTAACCTAAAAGTATGGCATCATGTTTGAACTAAACTGCCTGTGAATATAAACAAATAGCATTTAAATATTTAAATAGCATTTAAATTCATGTTCTTAAAGCATACTTAAATGTGCCATATTTACATCTGATATTACTAGTATTTATAAAATATTGACAAAGATGTATGCTACAACTTTCCTAGGACTCTTCTTTTGACAAATTTCTTAATGATCAGTATGGTAACATTCTGGTAAACAGCCCAGTCTACACTATTTCCTCACTCTCTCATTTGGAAACTTTTACCTTTATTGTTTTGATTCTGTTATTGGGGGGAATATAGAAAAATCATGTACTTATAGGCAAGAAGTAAGACTCTTCTTGCTATATAAATAAAATGTGCAAACTTGGGGACAAAATTTGACACACAGTTTTGTTTTATTTAGTATTTTAAAATATTCTTAAGTGTATCTGTTTTGTTGTATCCGGCCTAATAGTCTTCAATCTATCAAGCAATTTATAATTATCTACATTCTACATCAAACAGGGATTATAGTTAACCCAAGGACATAAACACACTTCTCCAGTAAGTCACGAAATCACTGACTCAATATAAATAATATAGAAGCAACACACTTCATAGGCGAAATATTCTTTGTTAATATATTCTTGAATATTATAATGTAAAAGTTAACATGTGCTAAGGGTTCCAGTGAAGAAAAAAATATTTTACACTATTAATAAATTATATACGAAGAAATTACTCACCAGTAATAAACACTCGACTTTCATTTGTAGTGGTAAGGTAAAGCAGTTTAGGTATCCGAGTGTCATTTCTGACAACTTTCAGCTGTGTACACACAAAATATGTCACTGTAGAAAATGAAAACACTTATGAAATTACTTTTGCATTCCAAGGCTCACATACAAAGATCGGTTTCTAGCACAATGCTTCTTAAACTTTTATTTTTTTATTTTCTTCTTTTCTTTTCTTTTATTTTGTCAATATACAATGTGGTTGATTATTGTGGCCCATTACCGAAACCTCCCTCCCTCCTCCCTCTCCCCCCTCCCTCCCAACAATATCCTTTCTGTTTGCTTGTCCTATCAACTTCAAGGAATTGTAATTGTTGTGTCTTCTTCCCCCCACCCAGTTTTTTGTGTATTTATTTATTTATTTTTAGCTCCCACAAATAAGTGAGAACATGTGATATTTCTCTTTCTGTGCCTGACTTGTTTCACTTAATATAATTATCTCTAGGTCCATCCATGTCGTTGCAAATGGCAGTATTTCATTCTTTTTTATAGCTGAGTAGTATTCAATTGTATAGATATACCAAATTTTCCATATCCACTCATCTGATGATGGACATTTGGGAGGGTTACAACTCTTAGCTCTTGTAAAGAGTGCTGTGATGAACACTGGGGAACAGGTATCCCTTCAACTTGATGATTTCCATTCCTCTGATATGCAATGATAGAGAATAATAAATGCTGATAAGGATGTAGAGAAAAAGGAACCCTCGTACACTGTTGGTGGGACTGCAAAATGGTGCAGCCTTTATGGAAAATGGTATGGAGGTTCCTCAAACAATTACAGATAGATCTACCATATGATCCAGCTAAAATACTGCTGGGTATATACCCAAAGGAATGGAAATCTTCATGTTGAAGGGATACCTGCACTCCCATGTTTACTGCAGCACTATTTACAACAGCCAAGAGTTGGAACCAACATAAATGCCCATCATTGGATGAGTGGATAAGGAAAATGTGGTATATCTACACATTGGAATACTACTCTGCTGTAAAAAAGAATGAAATACTACCATTTACAACAACATGAATGGACTTAGAGAAAATTATGTTAAGTGAAACAAGCCAGGCAGAGAAAGAGAAACACCACATGATCTCACTTATATGTAGGAACTAATAAAAGTAAATAAGTAAATACACAAACAAACAAACAGGGCAGGTGGGGAAGACACAACAACTACAATAATTCCTTGAACTTGTTAAGATAAGTGAACATATGATATGATGTTGATGAGGGTGAGAAGAGGAGAGAGGGAGGGGGGAAAAGGAGGAATTCATAATGGGACATGAAAATCTACATTGTATATTGATAAATTAAAATAAAGAAATAAAAAATAGGGCTGGCCCGTGGCTCACTCGGTAGAGTGCGGTGCTAATAACACCAAGGCCACGGGTTCGGATCCCATATAGGGATGGCCGGTTTGCTCACTGGCTGAGCGTGGTGCTGACAACACCAAGTCAAGGGTTAAGATCCCCTTACCGGTCATCTTTAAAAAAAAAAAATAATAATAATAATTAAAGTAAAATTATTCATGACATCCCTAAAAAAGTTATTTCCTACAGAGAAAATGCTTAGTTTTTCCATGATACTTTCACTGATTAACCAAGTGATTATCAGTGCCCCCTGAATTACTCCCACTTCTTCCACCAGATAGGGCTATACAGTATTAATTTATATTTGCTTATGCAACTGTTTTATATATCTCATGTACAAGAGTACTTCGAAAATGTTATGGAAAAACAGATTTGAAAGATAATACAAATCTTTCCATGAACTTTTAGAAGACCCCGGCTATTTATTATAATTAGACTTTAAGGCTCAGTGACAGGGCTTATCTCATCTATTTATTTTCTTTTCACCTTGCTAACTTGATAGCTAAAAAGAATTCCTGAAAATGAAATTATAATGTTTTCAGACTTCAACTACTTTCAAAAGCTATCGAATGTTTTTTAGTTACTTAGTTATTAAAGTTTCAATAATTCAATGTCATTTTAAATTTTAACTGATTACATGCCAAAATAATTATGGTACTAAAAAGTAGGAGATTAAGAAATAAATGTAAATTCTCATAATCACACAAAGTAAGTTCTCACTTGAGAATAAAAATTTCTCTAGAGCATAACTATAAATTGACTTGATATAGCTTACTAGTTCTCTGTTCTGTGCCAATGAAGATAAATAAAATCTGTTCAAATGCTAAGAATTATCTTTTTTCCTTTATTTCATAAACTTTACAACATATGGATATCAGTGGCTAAATATGTTGATAAAGGAATATTAAAGAGACCTCTAAGAGCTGTTAAGAGGGTGAGTCTCATATTAAGTGTTTTACTACAATAAGATAAATATTAAAAAATGATAAAGAAACTTCTAATTCTAATTTCATGGTCATTAAAGATCTGAAAGTCAGATCTAACACCTTCTGGCTGTTTAACATCCAAGAAATTCCTTGACACTTCTGGATCTTTGCTGTCTCACCTGAGAACTTGTAACATCAGCTCTTTAAAGGGTAACTGGGATTACAAAATGAGGTAACATCTATCAACATCTGGTACATAGTAAACACACAATATTAATTCCCCTTAGTTCTTCCCTTTCCTTAATCAAAAGTGAAAAAGATGCTGTATTACCAAAGGATTTTGGTATTTTTCCAGAAAACTCTTGGTCATACTCTACTTCATGGGCCTGAAGCCCCCTTAATGCTCTCCATTTAGTTAATGAGTTTTTCCTTTGCTTTTGATCAAAAGAAAATAAATTGTGATTGTTGTCAACTACTGTACTAGAATAAATCTCACCAAGGTCTGTACATACCTTTCTTAGAAAGACACATTTCACATTATCACAATAGACATACATACTTGGCAAAGTTTCTTTAAGAAATCTTCATCCAAAATTTATGTCAACTAGTTGTTTAAAGTGGCTACAAACAGAGGGGCCTGGCCATAAAACTCACCCAAAACAAGGTAATGGAATCACCAGAGGTTATCACTGCCATTCATTTGTGCCCTAAGAGAAGTTATATGAGAGGTCATAGCCCACTCACCTTGGAAGCCAATGCCTTGGTTATGGTCAAAACTCTTTCTGTCCCATCCCCCAAAAGTTGGGGTGAGGTTCAATTCTACTCAGATATGTTAAAAAATTTAATCTTACATAGTCTGCCAATTCTCTACAAGTTAATGCCACATTAGTAAAGTCTTCAGCATCTTTAATGGGGTCTACTTAGTCAATTTCCAAATGGATACAAAGAGAATTGACTACTTGTGTTTTAGTTTTACTGAAACAAACTTTTTTTAATGTGTGAAATTCTAACAATGAGAATTGATAAGAGCACCTGTTTTCTAGGAAAACCGGTTTCAATTCCAAGTTAATTCTAAACAGACAACCAGCAGGTGGTTAGTATCTCTTAATACCAAATACGACATTAATATCAAAACAATTTACACATGTTGCTTAAATTGCTAACTCAACATCATGCTACTTCTAAAAGTTAGCTTATTAAGTTAATGCCCCTCCTTCCAAAAATAAAAAGATAAAAATACTAAGAATTGAGTACTTGGGTAGATATTTTCAAAGATTTCTGGCTGAGATGTAGAAAACAGTTCCACTATAAATGGTTGCTCTGAAGTCCCGTCAGCAATGTGAATCCAGCGATAAGACCAAAAATCTTCACGGTTTTCTACATGGATAGGACATTAAAATAAATAAAGGTAACTGATTACATTTGAACATAGAACTATTCATTGAAATACTTTTTGTGATTCTCAATTTTAAAAACTTACCTTTCTTCTTTGACCGCTGGACCCTTCCTACAAAAACTAAAATTCCAATAACATCACAGATATGATTTTCTGGTATATCATCTAGCTCTGATCTAAAAAAAGCAAAATTATTAAACAGATATTATATCTTCAAACAGTAAAAAAGTATTCTACAATTGTGATTGTGAAAATGTATATCTACATCATTATTATAGCATAATTTTGGGTATATTTTGAGCAAATTACAATGCATTATTTTTCAGTAACTAACATTGAAAATTAATATTTAATACATTTTACAAAAAATGATTTTACCTTGTGACAAATCGGTGATTTAATATTGGCAATCTCCATTCTGATTTCACCTGCCTTTCTGGAATGATGATTATATTAGTTGGAGGATCTCGAAGGTTAAGGCAGATTTCTAAAAATCAAATATATTACTTTAATATAATATTTAATACATACCAAAGAATACACATGTGCATAAATTACATAGCAAAATAATAAAAACTAAGCACTAGATTATTATCAATGCTCTTCTATCTCCATTATCACATCTACTTATATCCCCACCAAAGATTAACCATACCTTGACTTTTGTATTTTTCCAAGTCCTTAACTTAAAAAAAAAAACAACAAAATGATTTTACCACTTACATATTTTTTCCCAAACAAAATACTGTTTGACTTTGTTTTTAAACTTTATATGAATGGGATCATACCATGTACAGTATTCTAGGGCTACTTTTTTCACTCTACATTATATTACTAAAATTCAAGTAGCTGCATGGTTTTATTTTCATTTCCACAGTTTAATAATATTTTAGTGTGTGAATATACTACAATGTATTTATCCATTATTTTGTTGATGGACATCTGGATTATTTCCAGTTTTTTGCTATTACAACTATTTTACATACTTATGGTTCGTACATGTATCCTCTTCTGTGAAACACCTCTTTACATCTTTTGCCTATTTTTCTACTAGATTGTTTGCCTTTTTCTTGTTTATATGCAGGAGTTATTCATATTTTGGATATTAATTATTTGTTGATTATTTAGTTGCAAATATTTTCATCCATTTTGTGGCTTGATTTTTCATTCTTTTTATGGTGTCTTTTGATGGACACGAATACTTAATTTTCAATGTGGTTAGGTTTTCTAATATTTCTTTTATGGCTACTATTTCCTGTGTCTTATCCAAGAAGTCCTTCCTTATCCCAAGGTCAAATTCTGCGTTACTATCTACAAGTTCTTCTAAAAGTTTTGCCTTCCACATTTAAGTATTTGACATATCTGGAATTGATTTTTATATGGTATGCAATAGGAATACAATGTCATTTTTCTCATCTATAAACAATTATCTCAATAATATTTACTGAACAGTTCCTCCTTCCTTGATGATCTGTATAGCACATCTGCCATATATCAAAATTTTATATGTAGAGTGTTATATCTTGGCTCTGAATTGTTCACTGGTCAACTTGTCTATACTTGGGCCAATACCACATTGTCATAAATACTATAGCATTATAATAATTCTATATATTTGTAGGACAAATCCTCACTCCTTCTTTAGCCCCCTATTCTTTTTCTTTGGATATGTCTTGGCTATTATTGGCATTTATGTGCTTCCATATGAATTTTTGAATCAGTTTGTCAGTGCTAGAAAAAAATCTGATGAAATAGCACTGAATCCATAGATCAATTTGGGGGATTTGACATATTTATGAAATTGAGATTGACCTCCTACCTATCGGTATGGGATATTTCTTCACTTATTTCAGGCTTTTTAAATGTCTTTCAACAATTTGTCATAAACATCTCTAAACAAGTCTTACATATCTTCTGTCAGATTTATTTCTGGATACCCTATAGTTATTATTGAAAATGCAAATGATGTTTTTAAAATTATAATTATAATTATAAAATTATAATTATAAAGTTATAATTTAAAATTATAAATGTCCATACTACCCAAGGTCATATATAAATTCAATGCAACCCCTATCAAAATTCAAATGACATTTTTCTCAGAAATGGAAAAAACTATCCAGACATTTATATGGAATAACAACAGACCATGCATAGCCGAAGCAATGCTGAGCAAAAAATTAAAAAAAAAAATAAAGCTGGAGGCATAACACTACCTGAATTTAAACTATACTACAAAGATATAATAACCAAAACAGCTTGGTACTGGCATAAAAACAGACACACTGATCAATGGAATAGAATAGAGAATCCAGAAATCAACCCACACACCTACAGCCATCTGATCTTTGCCAAAGGCGCCAAGCCTGTACACTGGGGAAGAGACTGCCTCTTCAGCAAATGGTGCTAGGATAACTGGATATCAATATGCAGGAGAACGAAACTAGACCCATACTTTTCACCATATACTAAAGTCAACTCACAATGGATTAAAGAATTAAATATACACCCTGAAACAATAAAAATTCTTAATGAAAACATAGGAGAAACACTTCAGGAAGTAGGACTGGACACAGACTTCATGAATACGACCCCAAAAGCATGGGCAACCAAAGGAAAAATAAACAAATGGGATTATATCAAACTAAAAAGCTTCTGCACAGCAATAGAAACAATTAAAAGAGTTAAAAGACAACAAACAGATTGGGAGAAAATATTTGCAAAATATACATCTGACAAAGGATTAATATCCAGAATATACAAGGAACTGAAACAACTTTACAAGAAAAAAACAAGCAACCCAATTAAAAAATGGGCAAAAGATCTAAATAGGCATTTCTCAAAGGAAGATATACGAATGGCCAATGAACATATGAAAAAATGCTCAACATCACTCAGCATTTGGGAAATGCAAATCAGAACCACACTGAGATACCATCTCACCCAAGTTAGGATGGCTAAAATCCAAAAGACTGTGAATGATAAATGCTGGCGAGGTTGCGATGAAAAAGGAACTCTCATACATTGTTGGTGGGACTGCAAAATGGTGCAG